GGATTTAAAGGAAAAATCCTATAATCCCTGAGCACATTTACAACTGGAGACAAAAAGGACAGACCAAATACTTCCCAAAAACATAAATTGAGGATGAAACCCAAATCTGATGAAGACAGGGGAGGGGAAGCGAGAGACGGGTGAGACGGCAACTCAGGCTTCATAAATGAACACATTCATTCTGTCAGCAGCTTCCTGCTGAGTCCCACGTCGCAGACGGGCCGGGCGGGTGTGTAGCAGGAATTAGCCTACAGCGACTCGGAGCTTTTGTTAGATCATCGGCAGGTTTTTACTTAACACATTCATTGTTTCATTTTTGCTACAATCAAATAAGGAATTCATGCGCCAGTGGAACAGAGTTTAGACCTGATTGGCTTGTCGAGTATATTTGACATGCTTGAGTAACAAACATCAATAAAGGAAGCGCCGAGCCTTCATCTCATGCTGCAGGAGAAAATGATTTTTACTTTGTTTTCAATTTTCCAGGGTAGTAATTTGAGTGAGTCCCGGGAAAATTTAGCTGGTTCCTGATAAAATGTGTTTTTTGACAAATTGTTTTTATTTTTGATGCGATATAAATGAATCTAGTTAGAATTATAGTTATGCGTTTATATTATAGTTACCATGCGTGCTGAAAATGTAACAAATATAATCCCAAATCTGAAAATATCACACAAAATGTGAAGATAAAATGAGACAAACATTGTGTGAAACTTTTATCACACACATAAAACTTGACTAAGTCAGCGTTGTCTTCTGAACATCTGGTGATGAAACTAAATGACAAAAACCTTTAGCAGCAATGAGAGTTTAGTCTCGCCGATCATTGCAGAGGAGAAAAAATGATCCGTAAAGTTGTTTTGTGTTATCAAATGTGCAGTCTCACACACACACACACACACACACACTCCTGAAACTAAATCTGACGCTTTTGATTATCGGGGAGAAAATCAATGTTGAATTCCCTGCGTTCTTTCTGATCTGAATGAGTCAGAAGCAGCACAGCTGCCCCGAAGTGACTAAACAGAACCCGGAGCGAACATCCAACTCCTGACTCTCAAAACACAGACTCCAAGCACTTCATTTTCTGCATCCTGAGAAGAGTCTGCATGTCAGGGTCAGGTCAATTTCCCGCTCGGGGTATTGCTCTGCCGCTCTATAATACATAAGGCCATAAATAATGCATGTCGCTGGCTCTCAAATCTGACCAGAGAATTCACCACTTAATGCTAATTCATGGCAGTATGTGCAGACAAAACATCACTTGCTGGTTTAGGACATCTATAAAATTCAAATATTTATCTTGATCATTTTATTTTTGTTACCTCCAAAACATACTTAAAATACGTATGGCACTTGACAGTTGATAAAATGCTAATATGATTGTAGCATACGTTTTCTGCCTTTTTGTGTGTTTCCTATTTTTGTGCGTGTTTAAGTGTACAGTAAATCTATGCAAGTACACTGAATCTTTGGGGAAACAACCTCTATTAATGAATGGCCTGAGGGTTTCCACAGGTCAGTGCACGGATGCCAAGTGCAGATAGCTGTAATTGATTCACACGTTTATTATGTGCGGATCAGGCACGCCGCTAAGGACGTGCCAGGAAGAGCCCCGAGAACTTGGACGGGGCTGTTTAGAGCTCTAATACTGCTGTCGGGAGCTGCATTTTGAAAAACGCACTCGGCTGTGGTATCATTAGTTTATTCAGTGTGCATGGGTTGGGTTCAGCAAGTGATCGGTCTGACGTGAACAGCAAACAGATACTTCTTTGATATCAGCACAGCTGTGGTAACACAATAGTTGAAGCATTCACGAGCAATGGAAATACTCGTTTTCAATACAGTCCCTAAGCAGTAAGTAATGAGCCCTCACACACTTTAACCGACTTACTGTAACCTGTGCAGAGCGTGGGAGTTCTCCTAATTTACACGGGTCATTTGTGTAATTGCATTGCATTTGAATTCTCTGGGCAGTACGGATAGTCTTTTATACCGTGTTTCATTCAATAGGTAGTTTGACATTCTGGAAAACAGGCGTATTTTGCTTATTTAACGCGAGTTAGACGACAAAATTGATACAACACTCATATCTGTTTAGGACACATACAGCCGGAGCCTTGTAAGATTCACTTAGAACACTGCATGGCTCTGTCTAAAGGAAATCAAACCTGCCCACCAGACCTCTAAAGCTCCTCTACAGCCGAAATATAAACCCAAGGTGTAGAAACGTGAGATTAAGGGTGGTTGTGCAATCTCCCATAAAGAGCACCAGACTTTGAGACCAATATACTTAGTGATAAAAATCTGGAATTACAACTTGCAGATCTGTAGCCCGATGCCATGTGGGCATCTTGAAAGCAGTCTGCAAAATCGTTCTTTTAAGGGAAATCGGTAATTTTGTACTCAATTCAGCCATTTTGGTTTCACGCACCACCTTTCACAGGAATGACTGGGGCCCCGCCTGCAACACTGAATCCAGTTGTCCTCATTCATCCACAGGGTTATGTGGATTATGGATTATGTACTGACTATTCGTTGGTCACCCCTAAAGTCTTTGCTGTACACTTTGATTAAATAAGTTCCAACATGTTTATGGTGAGCTTCAGACATGTTGGTTGGGAGGCTTTTTTTTCCCAACACATTGGAAGAGCTGAGTAGGGTGTTTCCCACTACACACTCTGAGCCAAATGGCTGATGCTTTTAACTCACCGTACAGACATGACAGCAGTATCAATCCTGTCCTCTAACTCTTGGAATAAAGCAGATTATTTTACAGAGTGTCAAGCTTTACCTTTAATAAATTTGACTGTTAAATCCTCAATAACAATCTAGTCTTGGTTCAACCAGATCAACATATGTGGAAGTCATCATCATGCCTTCATTCCCAGAATGAATAAATTGTTCACAAAGTTGACCCGACAGGCCTGAAACCATAGCGGATTTCGCCAGTGGGACGGTCCTGAGCCCTGTGGGACTTAGTGGGAGCAGGTTTCAATATCCATGAGGGCAGAAACTGGGATTGGGTCTTAGTATCTACAAAACAGAGGATGAACGGAGCAATCAGCAAAGGGGGCGTGAGGTCGACGAGCCTGTATAAGCCACTGAGGGCCGAGAGGTTGACTCCGCCAGCCTTCTTTTGCACACGGCTGTGTTGTCTGTTCCGAATGTTAGATGTAGCCACTCCCCCTGATTTGCATACAAGAACGTGAAATGAAAAACGGCATTATGAAATAAAAGACTCTGGAAATGAAAAGTGGCATTATGAAATAAAAGTACCATGAAATAATTAAATGTATTTAATATTTATGTATTTATTGCCTCATTTATTTATTTCATGATGTATTTCAAATACATATTTCATGTATTTACGTATTTATTCATTCATTTAATTTTGACTAAAACGGCATTCCACGTCTGTCCGAGACGGCAGGTTCTGGTCTGTGGAGAACCGGAAATCTACCCGATTTGATACGCGACTTCCCTCATGGCAGAATACTTTCGTGTCCTGCTGGAGGATGTTCATGTATGCTGGAGCTTTAATTTTACTTTTTTGTATGAAACTATATTTGAAATATGTATAACAAATACTTTAATTAATATTGAGGCCAATACTTGTGAAGATGATGAAAGGACCAATGGTGCCTCAAACACTGACCGTGTGAATCGCTCTTACTATAAAACTACAAAATGATGCTTTATACAGACATGGAGGACATTACGCCAAAGCTGACAGTGTGACGCTTATGCTGACTGTAACATCTGTCCATTTTGGTAGTGCAATCAAACTCATTATCTTCTGCAGTTGTGAGCGTTGACCTCAGGGTGAATCCACTGCAGCCGCGGTCACACAAAACCCAGTTGAATCAAACTCATTTCAATTCATTCAAACGCCACATGCTTCATCCTGTTAGGGTCCAACAGTATTCACAACAAGAGCCAATGTAGATATTACTCTTCAGTCAGAAGTATTTTCTCCCATCCTATACAAGCTTTAGTGTATCTGCTGCAGTACTTAGGTCAGTAATACTGCACAGTATCTCCCACAATACCACTCGATTCATGTGCAATGATTGTAGCAGATTAAAAGATTACTATGTTATCCATATGAACATGTAATATCGAGGTCAGCATTTATTTCTTAGATCTGGTGAAACAATAAATTGTACAAATATATGCAAAACAGACCAGAATATAAGTGGAAGAAACAATGGCACAATAATGAATTGAGTATTTCTGGTTAGCTAATTCCTGCCGTATTGCAGAGTGAGAGTGCGGCAGCGGTTAGAGTTGAACCTGCTGTCCCCTGCATCTGCGTCGTCACCTAACTCCCCCCGCTTCCCCCCCAGGTAGACGGAGTTACCTCCGTCACGCCGTTGCATGAGAGCAGTTGGCACAGCTCAAAGCCATGTGAAGGACATTTTGCATCTCAAATCTGAACAACATCAGCTTCTCCCGTGATAGTAAATTGAATGACGGTGTCGCACGGAGTAGCAGTAGAGTGTGTGCCGGGAACCGCAAGGTTGGCGGTGTGAACCCTGGCTGCCGACATGTCCCGTGTCGAAGTGTCCCTGAGCGGGACACCTGACCCCTAATGGTTCCCCGGGCAAAAATGGAAAACCATGGATGCAATGTGAGTCGCTTTGGATAAAAGAGTCTTAGAAAGTCAACATTATGGGCTCTATGTGTTTTTAAATTTTCTTTTTTATTTACTGATTTTGGATTTACCAAACATTTCAGTGATTAATCAAGAGAGGTAGACTTATAGATCATTAATATAAAAAAAGACATGTAATATTCCTAATATCGTACTATTCCTGAATACATTTTGGTGGTTTGAGGTGGAAGTTTTCTACCATTGCATTTGCATCACACATTCCTCTCATACAACCAATGCAAGCATCGCAGTTGAGCCTTTCCACTCAAGCCACTACGCCACCTGCTCTATTCCTCCGATACACACAAACAACGTCGCGTCTCCATTTGTATCGGTCACTCACCGGCCTTCCCCTCCTCCTTCTCAGACCTCATGTCCTCCTCGGCACAGGCTCCACTCGGCTCCACTGTCAACTGCGGTGTGAGCTCTCATAGCAGGTGAACAAAAAACACACACATGTATCCGTACAGGCCAGTGCAGTGTGCGCACACACCATTCAAACCAACGCACACAATGCAGCGCCACAGCCGGGCCGCTCCCAGCCCTGCCTGCCTGCCGGGGCTCCACCCAGACGGGTTACCAGGAAGTCGTACCTTGGTAGCCGCAGAGCGACATTTCCTGCTCCTTTCATTCCTCTTAGTGTGCCTCTCTTTCTCTCCCACTCTCCCTTTAGTGACACGCCCACTCCTGATTTTCCTCTTTTCCCACCTGGTGTACAAAACGGGATGAGGGGGGAGGGGGGAATGCAAAGTGCGCACCGGGCCTCAGGTAATACGCCAGGTGAGTCAGTGGAGCTTTCACGCCACCTGATGGCGGAGCGCTAACAAAGGGCGGCGCCGTGCCTTTCGTAGCCTACGCACTCGCTTCCTGAATGTGTATTTGGCCCCAGGAGGAATTTACACTCTTAATAAGCACAAACGCCGCAGAAAATGGATCGTGACAGCAGCGAAGTGATGCAGAGTTTATGCTCCCCAGCCAAAGGGCATTCGCTCTACACGTCGATTGGATTATTAAGAACAGCTCCCCCTTCATATCTTTAACCCAGCAAGGTAAACACACCTGAATAAGGGCAACCTGTGCCGTGTATGACAGGAACTCAGATGTTCAGGCTGGTCCCATTCGCCTGACAGGGCTGTTAAGGCCTCAAAGCCAAAGGAGTGTACACAGAGGAAAACATATGGGGATGCAAAAATAGATCCAGCCTGCAGAGCTTGAGCAGGTTAATAAATGAATGCCGGGACTTTTGGTTTATTAGCACTTGTGTGCCATATCTAGCACACATTTGTAGGCCCAATGTGTGTAAGTTTGAGTGAAAGAGAAAGACGAGTTAAACCTCTTCCACTGAAAGACGTGACAGCCGTTCAGAGCGAGCACGCCATTTGTCCTGTCCGTCAGAGGAGGAGGCTCAGTGTTTCAGCGCCGTCCAGAGATCAGATGTGCCCTAACCACATACTTGTCCCATGAGGCATTGGATCCGTCAATCATACCCGGACACCTCAAGGATCACTGCCAGGCTCATTTCCCTCTGAATGATCCGGGCTGAGACAAAAGACAAGAGACGATGCAGTGGATACGATTAACGCCACTTTTGAAAGCAAATATTTTTCTGCGCCAATCACCTTGGTACGATACCTCCCCAGAAAACAAATTCATAGAATTTAACGCCATCAAATTTGCACCTCTCTGACTCAAGCTGCTTTTAACATGTCTGAGCAGCTGGAGCTTTTACATGAATAAGACATTTTTTGACCTAATGTAGCACTTTAGAATTTCAAGGGCACGCTGCAGCTGCGCTGTCTCTTATTCACCGCATTTCTTTTATCCTGACAGCTCTCCGGTCCGAAATGTTCCACTCTCGAGTGTCCTTATTCTTCGGCTTACCTCCCTGTATCCCTATGTCATTCATTTGCTTTGCTCACATTAAAGCCAGAATGAATTCTTAAAGGCCTTCTCTCTCTACACCTTCCACAATGTTGCCCTCGGCTCTCTCTCTCTCTCTCTCCCTCTCCCTCGCTCTCTCTCCCTCTCTTTGCGGCACACGACAGACCTGTCAGTCCACATTATCAGTGCCGGGGAGTATTGGCACAGAGCTGGGATGGAGCCGCGTTGAGATATTAGCTAGCCTTAAGAGAGAGGAAGAGGGGAAAGAAAGAGGAGGAGGAGGAGGAGGGAGAGTGAAAAGCAGCGATGACCACTGGGGGAGACGGAGAGTGATTGAGTGAGGTCACCACTGCCGCCGCTCATCACTGGCTGAAATGACATGAGGCTTATCTAATAGCCGCTGAGCGGACTGTGCCAGCTTCAAGGGGATAGATGGGAGGAAAAGATTGGAATTGCAATTATTGGGGGAATTAAACTGCAGGCTCTCGGGTTTGGCGTCAGTGTGAGATCAACACTGAATAATGGCGGACACTATGAGATGAGAAAAAGAAATGGACAAAATTACAGATGCGATCAATAGACTTCATGATCAATAGCTTTTGTTGGGAGCGTTACTGCAGGCTGGTCAGTTTGATTACTGCACACGAGGGATTGAGAGGTTATTATCCCGAGCCACACTGGCCTCCTTATAAGAAATGCTATTGGTTATACTGATGACAGCGACGGCCGCGATGCAATAATGTCACGTTATAATGCAACTTACTTTCAGTTAAATCCAAACTATTTGCCAAGTAAAAGTCGATCCAGTCACACGGTCACAATAAGTAAAGCCTGCGGTGAACCGTTAGGCTCTGGTGTCGTGGTGCCAGCAGCCGTACCTTTGCCCAGCATGCAGTCTGGGGTGCCAAAGTCCATCAGGCTGGATATCTCCGTCGGGTAGCACATGTCCTTCACGGCTGTCTTCCGTCTTTGATGCACCGATGGATCTGGAAGGGAGAGATGTTTAAGAATGACTTCAAATAATCAGATCAGAATGACAACGTCAGATGAATATTAGAGTGAATATGTGAGTGAGTATTTGTTCTCTCATCAGAACTTATTTTCATTCACACCACAGGGTTGTTGTATTATACAAACACTGTGTGGAGCTACAGCAGGACTTATTAAATCAGATGATTCATTCTGACGTGATGCCGATTTCAACACGCACTCCTGAGCTTTCAGACAGGCTGCGAATGCAAATCTGTCCTACAAATCTGTGCATTTGTCATCAGCGCATCAAATTAATAATCAAGCACAAACTGTATTAGTAGTGATTCATACTTGTCTCATTATGTTACAGCGCTTGGCTACATTTTTAGTCCTTTTGGCCACATTTCAGATCACCCCTAAAGGACTTTAGTGATCTCTAGTAACTGAGGTTGTGTGTAGAACAATTTATCTCCTTTTCACTTCAGAAAGAAAATGCATTGAGAGAAAGATAAATCTGATTTAAAATCATCGGGGTTCCTCTGTTCACTGCTTTTCCTCCTTTTGCCTTTGTAAACATTTCACTTCCACGTGTAGAGCATGAAATGACAATGATTATTGGAGGGAGCGATACACGCGCTGAGGCGGTAAATGGTTTCGTAGAGACGATACCGCGGCCAAGCCAAAAGACATTCTGCCGACGTTATGAACCCCTCTGACGTTGTAAATTTCGGGTTTCATACCAGATGAAGGCGTGACAGTACCTCCTGTATATGTGTCAATGCAGCGCTTAAATGAAACTTGTTTTCTCGGTTAACCGACCAACCAACTCGTCCATGAGCGCAGCACTGCCGTCTACTCTCAGGCGCCTTCTGTCTTCACAACCTCAGCCAACCTGCAGCTTTTAACAGTTTCAACTCTATGAACGGTATTTTCTAGACTTCCCTTCCTCCGTCCTCTTCACCCATCGTCAACTGTTTAGGTGTTATTAAACTGACCTTTCCCTTGTTGTTTAATTTGGAGATTGGACAGCGAGGAGGCTTCTTCACCGGCAGTGATGAGAGAGAGAGCGAAAGAGAGCTGCTGGCAGTCAGACAAACTCACAGAGAATCGATTCCAGCACTTAGCTGAAGGTCCTGACGCTTTGTGCAGACTTCCAAACGTACATTTACGTCTCTAACATACAGCCTGTGCTGGGGAGCCACTGTTTAGAAATGTCATCACTCCTAAACGACACGCCTGTTAAATGAGAAAAAGCAGCAATGTGCTGAAATGGCCTCAACATGTTTGAAGACGTGTCACTTTTCTACTTTTCATATGAAAACAATCTATTTTGTGTTCATTTTTTAATCAATTAAGATTTTCCCAAAAAAGACAAAAACATCCTGATCCTGTAATTTCCCTTTTGAGAGATGATTACTGTGTTCTGTTCTTAACAAATACCTGTGAAATAAATAACCTATATGTCCCATTCTGTCAGATGAGAAAATGTATCACAAATGTGTATTTAATAAAAGTAGAGATGGTATTGCTGGCATAATAGCTCACCAGTAAAGCTTGCAAAAGTTGTAACAGTCAGCGATCTTACTTCAAAACACTTTTTGTCAATTTCAGCGTCTCGTCACAGCCTATTTGTTTTAAGTCGATGCATTGCTCTGGATCTGTAAAAGGGAAATACACCAAGTTGCCTGGACTGAGCCGTGGCGTTCCAGCCAATCAGTGACAGTGGGTGTTTGTTCTCATTAGAGGGGAAAGAAAGGGCCGTGGGTGTAGGAGGAACACAGTGGGAGGGACGGTGAGTCTGGAGGAGGGCTATTTGTTTGAGTGTTGAGTTACAAATAACAACTATTTTCTTCCAGAATTTCTGATTCCAGCTTTAAATGGAACCAAGGCACCGTAATGTTATGAACTCATCTCACTGCACACAGACGGTCATGGTAACTGCAGCTTTTGAGCCTGTAATCAGTTATTGTCACCATCGTGCTCATGAAAGGACAATGACAGCATTGAGGGAAGCAAATTTGATTTGAAGACTTTGGAATAGCAGTATGAACATAATGAAACAGAGAGTAGTGCTTGGTACAAAATATCCGGAATAATACATATTAGCATGTAAATTTGGTTGATTGTTATTCTGTTATTTTCTTCCAAAGGAGAAAAACAAAAAAATCCCCTTTACAAATCAGATCCATCTACTGTATCAATAAGCACACCTTTTCATTATTGTTAGACTTAAAGGTGTTCTTAACAAATATTAAAGAGCCTTCCTTTTAGACAATAAGGGACAAACACAACCCTGACAGCATCACAAGGGTAAACTCCCACCAGTTATTAATGAGAACACACTGAGAGTGTGTGATGGAAGACCCATCCGCGGCTGTGGTAGGAAGTCAGAGAGGCTTTCCAAACATCTGACACCACTTCCCTTCTTCGCCAACAGCTGAGGGATGCAGGCAACACGTGCTGCATGGGACAGGGTGAAACGGGGAGACAAACACAGTGCGTATTCAAGCAGTAAGGGGAGGCAACTATCATTGGTGTGCAGACTGCTCACCATTGCCCAACCTCAGACACGCTTTAATTACACTGGCATTCAGTCCGTCACGCAGGCAGCGGACACATTCATTCCCGTATCAGTCATCGCAGAACGGAAAAGGAGGGGAACATGGCCGCCGCGTGAAGTCACAACACCGGGACACTGAGTGCAATAACACAGCGGGGCAAACATGCATTGGTACCACTTACAATCATTAACAACGGTTGGAAACACGCTGTAGTTATCTGTTTGTGTGCGTGTGCACGTGTATGTGTGTGTGTGTTTGTGTAAAGGAGCGGGTTAGCTTTGAGAGGTGATTGGCTATCAGCGCACTTGCAGAACCAAAGGTCACTTTAATGTTCATTGTTTCCACGTACTCTGAATTACTAAAAAGGTTTTTGTCGGGGAAAGAGGGGTTTTGGTGATTGGTGGTTGTGGTGCACATAAAAATACAGCAATTGAAAGCCTTTAAAATGGTTTCAGATGATTGTTTTTGTTAATTGTATATTTTATGTACACAGAAAACGGATATGTATCAGAGCAAAAGTGGTAAGGAAAAGCTTAAGTAACATAGGGACAAAATAAAGGGGAAAGTGACATAATCATAATCCTAAAATGCAAAGCCGTAAAAAATTTAACCATTTTCTGTGTACAGTCATTTTCCCCCATTGGAATCACAATAACTATAATTATTTCCCCTCTGTCTCTCTCTGATTAAATTGGCACATCATAATGTGAGAAAAATTTCAAACAGTGAATACATTAACGAAGCTAAATGATGTGATGCTTTTTTTAGTTCCTAACCTTTGCAAAAAAACAGGAGCCAGAAAATATTGCCTGGCTGCTCGAGCCAATGGGATTACGTTTGCTTGAGATATTTAGTGCTGAATATTTCACAAGGAAGCCTGCTCATCCCCGACCCGCATGCCCACAGGTCGCGTCTGGTTTTATCGGGCAAAGACACACGGAGCTCGTCCAAATCCCAGCGTAAGGATTGCTGACGCGGCACAAAGCATCCCCACTGGTAGGTTTCATTAGCAGCCTTTCACATAGATGGCCATGATGAATTGGATATAAATGTCCTTTATAATGGAGCTAGATATGAAAGCCCAACAGTGTGTAATAACAAAAAATTGAACACTCCATGAACAGAGGCGGTGAATGTGTCAAATAATTCTTTAACAACAGCGGTGAAATACTTTGGGGAGAAGTTAGCTCAGTATTCAACACACTCTTTAAACCCTCAGAAAAGCAACATAGATTTATCCCCTGGGACGGATTAAATGTGAGACTATATTTGAATCCGGCGCTGTCACATCTCTGTTATACATCCCAAACATGCAGCCAAAACACCAAAGCAAAATGCCGCCTCTCTAATATTTTTACTTTGCCTGCAGCTGAAAACTGACTCTGTATTAATCTGTGTATAATCACACTTGACACAATGAATCAATATTCCCCAAGTGCTCACACAGCATCAGCCCTGAAAGGCTGCCGCGAGGCCGCTGTGATCCATCGGCTCTAAACGCTGAAAAAAGGACAATGCCCCCGAGGAAACACGAGGGGGGAAAAAAAGCCCCTTCAGGGACACGTCCATGACGTCAAT